AAGGAACCTCTCCAGAAGTAAGGGGCGCCTGTGCCGCCGCTCCTCGCCGCCAACAAAGCAGCCGACCCCCCCGGGGGGGGGCCTTGAAGCACACGTTGGAAAGACTGGGCTGCACGGAAAACGAGCCACCTTTCTCAACGAAGCCAGCTCCAGCTTTGGAAAATAAACCTTTGGAGAGTCTTCAAACTCTTTTTGAGTACTGTAGTTCTTGATCTCCGCAAAGGTTCCTTCGTCTTCCCATCCGCTCCTCTGCCTGCCTTCAATCCCCCCCCCAAACACACACACACACAATCCTCTCTGCTCCTCACCTAGAACGGTCGCCGATGGGTCGCTGTTTCATCCACCGCGTGGGTTGCCCGCCTCTCCTTGAGGGTTTTTTCCCCCCCCAGTTCCTCCTCTCGCCGTCCGCGCCGATTACCTCTCCACCTAACGCACGCACTCATGCAACGTGGATCGGGGCTGGTGGACTTCCAAAGAGAGCAAATGATCCAGGGTAGCAAAGCACAGTGGGAGGGGGAGAAAAAAGCCGGGGCATTTTATTTACCTCCTTGCGTGTGCACCGATCGCCAGAGCTGGGAGCGGCGAGGAGGAGGTCTCTGCAGAGAAAGCAGAGAAGTTGCAGCGAGTGAAAACTTGAACCCTTCCCTCCCTCCCCCGAATGTCTTAATGCCTCGCGTGGATTTCTTGAGAAAGACGAGCGTTACCCAGAGGCTGTCCGCGCTCCCTTTTCTTTTCTTTTCTCCCCCCCCCCTCCGTGGTGCATGCGCAGGTGCCCGCCCAGCCCTCGCACTCTCCCAAAGTCGAAGACAGACTTCAGCTTGCAAGCGCAACCTGAACCGTAGAGGGCAGTAAGGGATTAATTAAAGAGCCGCCTTCTCTCGGGTCAGGTTAGCGCCGGAGATGCCGCACGGAAAGAGATCGAGCCCTTTAATGAAGCGTGTCGAAAATCTAAACGGAAATCCCTAGGAAGAGAGATAATAAAAGCGTTACGATGTGCATCGAAAACTCTGAACCAGTGGTGAGGGAAATAAATTTGCAGCACAAAAAAAACGCGGTTCCGATCGCGGCTTGCGAGCGGCGTCCAGCCAGGGGGCGCCTGGCGAGCGGCGACGAGAGGCTTCTGCAGGCATTTGCAAATATCCGAGGAGCGGGTTTACTCGGAAGCAATCCCATTGGGATTGGTGGGTCACCCTCGCAGGTAAACAGATACAGGGTGGCAACATAAATAGTTGTCACTGGTTTGAATTAAAATGCTTCCTTTAAAAAAAAAGAAAGAAAAGGCATCGAGGCTGCGAATTACGTACATACATTGAGATGGGAGCAAGCCCCGTGGAGCTCAGCGGGGATTCCTTCTGAGGAGACGGGCTTAGGTTTTCAATGTTACGGTAGATCTCGCCGCCTAAGACGGGATCAATTTGTTGCGTAGAAAGAAGGTAGGCCCTCGCAGAGCGCCTGAAGTCACTGCTATCGATAACAGCCTAATCCAAACTAAGGGGAAGTGCCATGAGAATAAGCAATAAATAGAGGTGCGTTCAAAGCTAGTACTGTAACCGAAAGCATATTTCATCTACAAGCTGCACAATACAAATCTTTCAGTTAAAGCAACATTAAAACAACTTTAATGTTCAGTTTTGAGATATTGATACTCCCCTGTTAAAAACAAGAAAAATATATTGTCCCCCCTTTGGAAGAGAAACATTTGGCCTAAGTTTTTGTAGACTCCCAATTACTGTATTTTCTTCACGTATATGGAGTGCACAGTTCATGTGTGAGATGAAATTGGCTTGCAGTCCCTGAAAGCTTATAAACCAAAAAAAATTTTTTTTAATGCACCAGAGTAACTGTGCTACATCACCTCTGTTCTGAAATTGTTCTATTACTGCTTTCTTTTAACCTAATGCAGAGGTGAGCGTCCTTGCTCTCATGCAATTTAACTTGACTTGCCCTACCGTGTTTCCCAGAAAATAAAGCAGGGTCTTATATTAATTTTTGCTCCGAAAACACAGTAGGGCTTATTTTCAGCAGATGTTTTATTTTTTCCATGTACAACAATCTACATTTATTCAAATACAGTCATGTCATCTTCTGGTTGCTGCACAATGGTGCACAATGGTGGAGGGCAGGGTTTTACTTAACTAGGGCTTATTTTTGGGGTAGGGCTTATATTACAAGCATCCTGAAACATCATACTAGGGCTTATTTTCGGGGAAACAGGGTACAGTAGTTGCAAAACCCTGCACCTATCATCCCAGCCCCCCTTTTCCAGGAGCCCACTAGTTGGAGGGGGAGGAAGAAGGGGGAAATGGGGCAAGCAGGCCTATTTTTGTTTCTGGCCCTGTTGGTTGCCAGAGTGTTGGAATGTAGCCCCCTGAAACGTTTGCCCGCACTGAAATAGCTCAATTTAAGGGCCAGATACTGAGACACGCAACCCCTGCTGATTTTACTGAATATTTCACAGTAATGTAATGGAGATGTTAATAAAGGCACGTACAGTATCTCCATAGCCAAGCAGACATCTCTAGGAATTGTGAAGCTCTTACTTGTGTAAAGGTGCTCCCGGCTGCTTGTGTAAAGCAAAAATCCAGCATAGGCATGACCAATGTTCCCTCTAATTTTCCACCAGCACTGAGCAGAACCCACCCCCCATTTCGCACGTGCAAAGTTCCAACAAGAACCAAATGAGTCGCGACACTAAGTGTGGGTGCGCTGCACCAATACAGTGCTGGGCACCCATGCAGCTTAGAGGGAACATTGGGCATGGTGGCTTTCACCTCTCCAAGGACCCTGTCTGCCTCTTCAGGCTGTGCAAACTGAAATGTACTATATCCACAATCACTGGATTTGCAGAAGCCATGAGTACATGCATTGAATCTATATCAATTCTAATGCCCAGGTTGGAACAGATTTCAATTAATTTATCTGCAAAATGTCATGGAAAGGATTCTCAATGGGTCATTTGAGTGGTGGACACTGTTCTGGCTGGGGACAAGGGCTTCAACAGAATTGCCTGTCATGGGAGCAGGAGGTAATCAATCCATGACAACAGAACTATGGAGAGCTCCTCCACACCCAGGTAACCATCATCCTGCCCAGCACAGATATCCAGGTCCAAAATGTATCCTGCAGCATGAGTGGGGACAGATATTACTTGGGGCAGACACAGGAATGCAGTGGAGGACATGAATTCCTGAACTAGTGCTCACAAAGTAGCCCCATGGTTGGAGCTCCCCAGCAACATAAACAGAGGAGGATTCTAACATCATCCACACGACTGGGTTGGCTAGCTGAAGGAGGGGTATTCTTGAGGAATAGGATGTGTAGTACACCAGTGAAATCCCTTCTCTGTCCTGGACCTTCTCCTTCATCTATGCGCACCTAAACCCATCAGATTGTGGCACCGGCCACCTGATGAGAAGGATAGAACTGTGACAGACGAGACAACTGCAGCTGCCCCACCTGCTCCCAACAATTCTTGGGTGGTTCTGCACAGAGATCTCTGGGCGGCAAAGCTGAGAGAGATGTTTGTAATAATAGCCAGATCAGCATTCTCATCCGATATCAAATCCTGGAGTACAAACGGCTGCAATTTCAGGCCAGGAAGGCATCCACCAAATCTGCCAGGCTATGTGAAATGGCAGACAGTTTGGGGGCAACCAACACAAGGTTGGAGTATGTTCTGCTAAAGTATTGACACTCTACAGCCCCCATCCATACCAGTATAGTTTCAATGGCAACTCCTTGTTTTTCGGCAGCCTTTGCTGTCTTTTAGTAACGCAGTCTCAGACTACAGTAGTTTTTACACATGCACAGTGAGGCAGGTGTACAAACAGCAAAATAGTCTTTCCTGTTTCTCCCCTTTGTCAGACTGGGGTCCCAGTCCCAGTCCTAGCCCTCCCTGTGGCTCCCTCCAAACCAGGTACCACTACCCCCTTGACAAAAGACCTGTTGGCACTTGCCTTGTTTCCCTGGCTCCAAAGAGGAGCCAGGGGTTGGGGATAGGTATGGACTGGCACTTCCTGGGCAAGACATGCCAAGTTACGCAGCCCAGGGCCTGGTGCAGCAAAAGAATACTGTACAGCCTCTTACAGTTCTGAAACTATAGCCTGCAACAAGCACCAGAAGCTGGGTAACAGTCATGCATTGCAGAGATTCATCTGGAGGCTCTTTTCCTTGCAGGGTGTCTCAAATTCATTCATTCATTCATTCATTCATTCATTCATTCATTCGATTTATACCCCGCCTATCTGGACCACCGGACCACTCTAGGTGGCTTCCAATATAAAATCAGACAATAAAAACACAAACAAATACAGAATAATACAAAACAACTACAATAAAAAAATAGGAAAATTAAGAAAAAGAAAATCAAGAATTGGCTGGAGGGAAGGCCTGAATGAACAACCATGTTTTTAATTGGATTTTAAGGGCAGAAGGGGAAAGCAAGCAAAGCAACCCCTGAATCTGCGGCCTGTACAGAGCGACCAAGTCCTGTTGGTTGCCTGTATTGACTTTCAAAAGCAAGGTAGTCACGGATGTCCAGCTCTGAGACTCGGAATGATCCACAAAGACCCAGAATTAAATTAAATTAGGGACATTCAAGGAATATAATCCTATACATCAGAAATGGCAAACATGTGGCCCTCCAGATACTGTTGGACTGCAACTCCCATCATTTCATATTACTAACTATCCTGAGTAGGGCTGGCGGCACTGAAGTTCAACAACATTTAGAGAATCATGTGACTTGCTTCTGCTGCACACCCTTACTTTTACTAGCAAATTCTTTGGGTCTTAGGGGCAAAGCCGTCCTCCTTCCTACCAACACTTTCCAGATGCACATCCTATTAATCCC